CCCCCCCCCCCCCCCCCTCCCCACTTCTCCCTGTTACTCGCCACTGAAAATAAACCGGCTTCTCATGGGAATGCTCTGACCTCGAACCCAACGTAAATCGACGTTGAGGAACCAGAGACCAGGAAGGAGATACAATACATGTGGCAAACGCGAGAAACAGGAACGAAAATCTATGTAATACCTTGTACGTATAAACTTCGGCAAGTAGAGCTCTTGTAGTCGGTTGGCCGTGGTGCCAGGGCTTCCAGGGATTCAGGGTACCAGAGTGCAAGGGTGGACAGTGAGATGGGGTTGCACGAAGCAGGGTGTAGCGAAGGTGGGTAGGGCCAATACGAGGGTTCTAGATAGACACGCATATGCCAGCCACACGCTGCTCGCAGGGGATCCCATCGCGTTCGCTGCGTGTCATTCATTTTCCTTTCATTGTCGTGCGGCAGCAGTGAGAAGGAGAGCGAGGCGACGATGTGGGGTACCGCCGGTGCTTTTGCAGCGACAGAGGGGATACCAAAGGCAGGAGCCGGATAAATGAATAATTTAACGTTAAGAATGTGCGAGAAGGTAAGTTCCTAGCAGACCGATATTGGAGATGATATAATAACAACTGAGACTCACCAGCTATTCGGAGAACGGCTCTGTCAGCAGGATCCAGCTGAAGGATGCTGAGTGGCTTGTCCTTAGCCCACTCCTTGAGACTGCCATCCAGTTCGAATTCCATCTTTCCCAAAGTTCACCTGGCTGAATACATCCTTCCTTTTCACTCGGTTACGTCCGTCGATCTCTCTTTGAAATCCTAATCAGGATATCCCACGACGTCCGGCGCTATGCGCGACGTTCACTCATTCGTTCACTTTTCCGCGATCACACCACTTATATCACTGACCTCGCGAATGCACATAAGATCCGTAAAATAACTGCAGGTCGAGCACAACTTGGGACCGTCATGTCGAGCGTTCGACCAGCCGAATGCTAGAACACGTGGTCGGCCGTCAGTTGGCTCAACGTCTCGCGCTGTTTCTCACTTCTGATTTATAAAGTCGAGCCGACACGTTCGCGGGTATTAACTAAACAAACAAAAAATAATACAATCCACTAAAGGTATCGACACTTTCCAAGTGCCTTTTGACAACGTTAACTGTAACGAATCTCGTATCTCTTTGGGATATTGCACGCCGTCGTAGCCGTCGTGCAAAAAAAAACAAAACCCAGTAGAATCAACGTCCAACAATACTACAAGGCACCGCGTGAATCGAGACACGGCACTGACTGAGTGCGAGCCAAAGATCCGAGTGCAGCTGCGGCAGCGATGGGCAGCGACGACGACGACGACGCCGCGCGTTTGTTTATTGGACGACGCCGGCGTCTGTTTCCCATTTCAGCCGTGGGCGGCGCTCGAGTTATCCTCGTCGCGCCGTTCTATGCCGACTATTATCCCCAATGTATGTTACAGCCTCCAACCTCGCCTCGAGAAATAGGTGAAAATCGTTGATAAATAAAATAGGTTATCGTTACTGTTACAGTTTCATAAAAGACGTTGCACTCGATTCTGCTTACTTTTAAAATAACGCTGCGCACGAGATCTCCTTTTCCTCGATCGGAATAATTCCTTGGTTACCGATATCAGAGCTTAAAAAGTAAGAAATACAAGAATGAGATCGAATTTAGGAAAATGCTGAATCGCAGCGGAGCAATGACCGGGGAATTGGTAAAAGGAAGGACAACGGGCCCTGAAGAATTCTCGCGGAAATTGTGGCGTGACGCGTGTGAAACGTTACGAGACCCAATTGCATGGACTGATTGTTGCGGACGTGGGAGGCGCTGCGACAGAATCGCCAGCACTAGGCTTACGTTCCAAATCAATCGCTGTGATGTAATCTCAGCTTCCGTGAGGATGACTTAGGACGAGGAAGAGAGTGCTAGAGTAATCAGACTGATCGTGTTTTTGCCTTTCTTCGTTATGCCACGGAAAAACAGCAACAGCAGCGCCAACGTGAATTTCATTTTGAACTAAAAGAACCTATAAGACCACATTACCGGTACTCCTAGATATGCTTGCTGGATCATCGTGTGTACAGACTTTCGATTTGACCTAGGGCATGGTCCTGGCCAGTAGTCGTGACTGCGCAATGCACCAAGTCACTCTCACAAGATGGAACGTCGAGTCTTGTTCCTCATTAGATAATAAGCTGCCAAGGAAGATGCGACCATTGGCTCGGCACTAATAGTCAGATAGTTAAATGAATAGATACACAATCACCAAGATAGCTAGATATCTGGCCAGGTACATGTATGGGTTGACGTACAGGCCTTTAGGATAAGAGAGCGTCACGTTTGAGTTGACTGGAAACAATGCCGCAAGCGACAAGTGGCAGGTGTCATGCACACGCGTCCAACGACCGACCAAGACTGACTGAGACTAAACTGACACTTGGTTACAGCTACCTGTTTCCAATCAATTGTACAATAGACTTCCTGTTACCTACATGAAGCACTTGCAAAATTCTACTGAGAAGTAGCAACGAATATATTTAAAGCAAAAATTTGTTACGAAATTGTATACTATATGAAAGGTGTATTCGTCAACGAAGGACAAGTGGGTTTGTCGAAAGTGCGCTGATGTTTCCAGTAAATGGTAAACATTCATCATAAAATATGTTAAGTAACTTTTATTGAGTAACGCGTCCAGGGACGTTTCAAAATAACCGGATAGAATAATGATAGAAAAGAGAGGTTATGCTAGAGATATGGACAATACGGTAACTGACTAGTTTGGCTACTTGTTACCTTGCTAAAGTATAAAGAAGGATTATTATTTTTATTCAAGGGTAAAGGAGAGGTATTAGTAGATCTTGCGAATTGGTGATTTGATCTCAAGCTCATTGGAAGTTCCTACGTATCAATTATCCAAGCTTTTGTATTTAAATTGTCAATATTTACGGACAAGTCCTTTGCTGTAGAATTGTAGAATTGAATAATTGAAGAACGGAACAAGGAGAAGGGCTACAACTTTGTATCAGTGAACTAGGTTGGCCGTTAACCCCACGTACCATTACAAAGGGCCTGTCGTCAAGTCGGCGCGTTCCTTTGATGCACGCTAGACCAATGGTTAAAGAGGAGATAGAAAATAGAAAATCTAACGATAGGAGAAGAGAGGCATTGAAGATTTTTGAAAATCGTGAGAACAAAGAGAATAGAGGGAAGAATTCTCTCTTACATTTCTGCCAAGGAAATCGGATACGTCACTTGCCCGATTTACAAGGCGTCGCGACGCCAGATTGCACTGACGTTTGGCCTTTGTCAATTTCCTCCACCGACCATCTGATGCACGACTGCAAAACGAGTAAAAATCCAAAATGTCCACCGGCTCTTAGAACACACTGACGCACCGCACGAGTCACGATACACTCCCGTCTATTCTGCTCGACTGGATGATTCCCTTGTGGAGCGTAGTACTAGGAATAATTTAGTTAATCTTTTCGATACCCTGAGAAACCTTCTTATCACTTATCACGGCAATTCTTTCCTCGCGAATGTCGAACCGCTTCCAGACGACGCGCCTAGCAGACGACATTTTGCCTGCTCCCGAGTCACAAACCGAGTATTGCCGTAAACGTCCGAAGTCGTCCTCGTACAGCCGGTATTACACAGCCAAAATTCGATATTATCTACCTTTGGTTTTGCCGCCACATTTTACTTGTATTCAAATAATTTCAAAGGTACCGTTGATACAAATATTTTGGATCTTTCGAAAGCCATTATAATTCTTTAAAATTCCAATAAATTTCACTCTTTTCCAGAGAAAATTTAACTATTTGATACCGCACAGAAATATAATATGGATACAAAACACAGATGGCCGACAATCGTAATTATAAATACGTGGTACGTAAACGTAAAAAATTATCAGAGAGAAATACGAAGGAGACCGTTTAAAAGTCCATCGTTCACGATCGTGACAATCTAATCTAACCAAGTTAATCCAAGAGTTGCTCGTACTCGCAAGCACCTACGCTTACGTTCACTCGGCGAATAAACGATTAGACAGCACAGTTATCTCAATAAACTCATTCATTCTGAGCTTGCCAGATTACAGCTTTATCATATAATTGACTATGTGCTCTGCAAAGCGCGCGAAAGTTACAATAATTCGACTTGTAGGCGGGCGTGAAGAACGATGACGCTACAAGGTTCGTCTGCACTGATACGACATTCATATAGCGAATGAATTAATGCGGCAAAATTTGAAAAGAGAAAGGAGAATGGCGTCAAGACGTTAGAAGAGGCGATTGAGAGAGTCAGGTCGGTGACAGGGATAAGGGACGCCTCGGGACGTCTAGCTTGCACTTGGCATTGGGTGACACGTGAGATCATTTCTATAAAAGGCGTCTACCTGGTGGCTTCTAGTCGTTTATAACGACTGTGGTCATTCATCGTATTGAAACCACGTAACCGATGCTCAGCATTGCGTAGCAGCCTTCGTAGCCACTTGCTACTACGTTGATGTCACCACTAAATAAAGCGTCTGACATCCTCGTTAAATCAACTGTTTCCTACGTTCAGCTGCCGAACGACAAGCACCTTTGTGCATAACGTAGGTCGCAGGTCGCAGGTCGCAGGTCGCAGGTCGTCCAACGTAGGAAGATATTGATCTGACGTTCTCTGCTAAGAATGTGTGCTTCGAATAAAAAGACACGAGGCAGTTGCTTCTCAGCAAAAAAAAAAGAAAAAAATAAAAACTAGAGGACTTGATTGTCGGTTTATTCGTCGGAAACAATTAAAACTGATTGAATGCGTCAGCAGTGTGTATAACGAGTGATTAAAATATATAATACATAATAGACTAGACTGGACTAGAACGGAAACAGGAAGATATTCGACTTGCTACTAGTAACGTACTTATTAGTTAAATTCTCATCGTCATTGAGGATCAATGAAGAAACGAGAAGTGACTTTGATCGGATGAAGCAATGATGATCAGCATCAAGTCAGCTTCTGACAACCTTGTCAAATATTGTAAATCTTTGTATTTCTCAAAGCATCCTTGACCTTCCTGTCGTCGCTGGTAGCTGCTCGCCATACGAGTTCCAGGTTCTCGCGGGTCGTGCACTTTTCTCTTTGAAGATTCCCAATTAAGTCTTCCTTTTGTCTTAGGAGTTGTTTCAGTCGTTGAAGCTCGCTCTGGTAGTCTGCTCTTACTCGGTCGGCACCCAACTCTTGGTTCTTTATGTGTTTCTCAACGGTAGCCAGTTGTTCCTTGGCACCACGTTGTACGATCTGAAACAAGAATCATAGTGAATTGCCTTGTCCTTGCATCTCATTTTCATCTGATTGACTCAGCCTGAAGTATTTAAAATTTTCCACCTACCTTCAGCTCAGTCTTGAGGTTGCCCATTCTCTGGGTGATGTTGTCACCCAGGTGTTGAATCTCCTCGTTCTCCCTCTCTCGTTCCTCCAGAAGAGCAACCAGCTGCTGCCGTTCAGCTAAAAGTTTCTCTTGTTCCTTTTCTAATTCACGACAGTACGTTGTTGTTGTGTTCAATTGTCGCTTCAAGGAATCACGGGAGACGTGAACCGAATATATAGCATTTTGAAAGCGTTCCAGTCTACGTTGACTCCTCCTACAACAATGACGACACAACATTCAAATGAGACAGCCGTAACGTAACTTGACACAGTTGTCAGTTTGACTCACTTCAAATTCCTTTCAAGGGTTTTCACGCTATTTCTCAACTGATCTCTCTCTTGAGTAACGAGAAGTAGTTGCTTCTCATTTTCAGGCTGACTTTCCTCCAGGTGCTTCACCTTCGCCTGCAAACTCTTCCTCTCATTCTCATACCGATACTTGAGCTCCTCCAGAAGATGTCTGCACTCGTCAACCGCAGCTGTATGAACCGAAGCTGGTACGCTTCTCTCAGAATTCTTCTTACTCTTCTCATAAGCATCGCTAAGAACTTCATACTTCCCCTGCAGATTACTCAATTCCGTTTTACAGCCGAGATACTCCTTGTGAAGCTTGTTATTATCCTCAGACATGGATTCCACTTTACGCTCATAGACTGCGTGCAACTCCTGAAGCTTCTGCCTCTGAAGAGACGCCTGCTTCACCAGCAGCTCCTTCTCCTCCTTGATGGCGCTGGACTCCTTCTCAATGAGTCTTCCGTCCTCCTCGAGATTATTGCACTGTCAACCATAAAACTCATGTCAATCCCCTAATCGAGATGTTAATCTGACGGCAAGGTCCATATTGATAGCGCAATAGCACAAAGCCATAATGACACTAGATAAGTCATCCACGCTAATAAATAACAAAAGCAATACCTTCAAACGTAAATCTTCTATCTCAGCATGAAGACATTCGTTCTCAGCAACAACTTCCTTGGACCTTCCGCTAAATCTATCCATCTCCTCGGTATAGACTCTGAGGAGTCTCTCTTTCTCCCCCAGGTTCTCACGATAAGCCTCCAAAAGCGGACCCAGGGCGTGAAGATCGACTCTCTCCCAGGACCCAGACACTTTTTTATCCTCCGTACCACTGTCTATGCCTTCCATAGTGTCGATCACACTTTCAGGCTGAACAGCCTGGTTACTCATTCGCAGCTTGTCCTGGTATCTTTCTAGCTCGACGTTCAGGTGATAAACCAAACTCTTCAAGAGCATCACGTCCTCGTTCAGCTGAGCGTTCTCTGCTCTCAATTTAGCATTTAACTCCAGCACGTTTCTTCGCTCGAATTCTACTCTCTCTGCCATTTCCGTTAAATCCTCATGGTGCAAGTGCAACTGTCTGAACTGACCCTCGCGTTCCTCTAACAGGACGGCCAATCTATCACGTTCTGCCTTGACCTCCTGACAGTTCCTTTCCAGCTTACGGTACTTGCTCCGCACCTTTGACAAAATAATATCCTTCTCCTTTTTCTCATCGCTGCTACCTGGAAGGTCGTTCGATCGATCACTCATTCATTTTCTCTATGTATCTGATCATCCAATCTATTACGTACCTGCTGAATCACCCAGTGATCTCTCCAGCTTCCCAGTCGATACCTCCTTCTCCCGAACGTCCACCTTCTCAGTGTGACAGTGGCTCTTAATTTCCTGGCCACAGCCGACCTGGACTCCCGGTGGATTCTCGTTCGTCATGGTGTAGCGGCTTTTGGATATGTGCTTACGTCGATGTCTGGTACCGTGAACTGGTTCCAGATCCTTGCTACTGACCTTTCTCTCATTTCTGTCTCTACTGTGCTGCACAGAGAGCATGTTAAATATTATACATCTCTGTACAAGAATATCACATTATAAAAGTCTCAAAAGTAAATGCAAAATACCTTTCGTCTATTTCTGCTGCGTCTCTCGGCCTCCAGACGACTGTGAAAATTCGTAGCAGCCGAACCATAGAAGTAAGACATGGCGTCCAGGCGAATTAGACTGCAATCGGAAGCCAGTAGTATCCAATAAGTACGAAAGGATCGGGTAGCACCTTATGGACGTGCATCTTCCGCCGGTGGAAAGGCGTCAGTCGAAGCGTCCAGGCGTCCAGGCGTCGAGGCCAGTCGAGGCGTCGCAAGACTGCAGGGCACGTTGTTGTGTACGTATATCCATACGCGTTACCATGGTAACGGAGGGCAGCACGTGTGCGTCGAGCAGCGGTTTAAAATTACGAAACGTAGACGATGACGTTGATGACAATGCCAGTGATAACGGATTTAGAGGTTCCGCAATCGTGAAGAAAAGACTTTAGGAGCTGATGTCTGCTTGTAAAGAATACGAATGCTTTAAAAGTTAAATATTTGCCAGTTAGTATACCACGTAATGCTCTCGTATCTGTAGAACCATATTTTGCAAAGTTTTATCTTTTTTTTCATAAAAACAACAGAACATCTGAGTAAACTCCGAGCATTCAAAAGATAGATTTGAGAAATCAGGATTGGCTCCTAATGTTCCTTCTACGTTTTAATTATTAGATTGTTAGGTTACATTCACAAGGCACTTGTCCCGCTCGCTACTCTATATTTAAGTGCGATACGACTTATCGAGTTAAGTGCATTTATTGCAGCTCTTACAATGTCGTCTAATGGATCTTGAATAGTGCAATTATCGAGACTTCAACGATAATGAATAAAGTAATGGGTAGCGCTTAGACCAATAGTCATATATCATAGAGTGTATACTAAATGTTGTACTTTCCTTCAGAATTGACTGATCTACTAATGATATTGGAACGATTGAAGAGACCGTAGACGTGCGACATGCAGGTGTCAAATTGTTATGCGCCTTAAAAAAAAAAAAAAAAAAAAAAAAAAAAAAAAATGTTTAACTTTATTCCCATCTCGTCGGTATAAGAATAAATCGCGAGGATGCTTTATTATGAAATCGGAAATTGGCGTCGATCTTCGGGCGAAGAGCGAGCGTTTCCAGAGTCGTAAGATAAATGTATACAGAGATGTGGTCCACTTTGAAGGAGTCCCATAGGTCCGGGCAATAATTTTACGGTAAACCGTGCCGGTTATCGCTTCTGGGCCAGTACCTGATACATATTCAAATGACCGACTGATTTGACGCTGCTGGATATTCAATAGCGATAGCAGAGCGATGACCCAACAAAATTGTGCGATTGCTGGATCGAAATAGTAACAAAGAAAGAATCGATCGGTATATTTACCCTGCATTACGATAAAATTTCAGTTCTAGTTGAGCGTACCGACAGCGGCTTAAAGCGGATAAATTTTATCAAGCTGATTCCTGTCTGTCACGAAAGATAAAAAAGGAAATTTATTTCAAAAATGCAATCAAGTAAAACAATATTTTGTGACTGTGACAATATAGCCTGTGTTAGATAAGTAAGATGAAAAGTCGTCGAGGAATCCTTGAAAAATGAAATAGTCAGAGCGAGGCGGGCAAGTCTTTTTTGAATGGCGCTATACCGACGGAAAAGTACGTAAAATATGCACAAGTGTTATCAGTGCCGACGATTCGCAGACGCGTATATACAGCTGTGAGGTAAAGCGGACGACTTAGTCCTCGAAACCAGAAAGACTCGAGCGAGTCTCCGTAAAGTTCTTATCGAGATGGGTGCTGGTGAGCCAAGTGGATTTTCCAAAATTCTTTTGATACCGATAAACCCTTCATAAAATTTATACCATCCGATAACCCCTGCTCTGGTATTGATCATTGCTGCTAATTCGGTTAGCAGCTTGCGTCAACGCAACTTGTCTTTATGGCTTTTCATAAACGTCGCCAGAGCATTAAAGTTTATCTTGATTAATTGATACTAGTCTAGGTCAAATTCCATCTCGAATAATAATCAGAAATAACATTCAAGCTGGACTGTCCTTATCGCCGTTGCAGGTAATCTAGCATCCTTTCTGCAAGCAACATCCTTGCTGCTGCTGATATCCGCGAGGACCAGCTGGTGCATCGAACAAGGATGTGACTTCTACCAGGATATGGCTGCTGGCACGACCTACTACGTTTACAATCCTGGGTATCCAAACGCTTACTCGGGTCAGAGGTCATGCAGATGGTACGCAAAGAGCGCGACGCGGGTGCGACTGTCCTGTGAAGTATTTTCATTGCCAGCGGTAAGACGATAACCCGAAAAGACAGTAGACTTCCGGTAGATAGAAGAACCCTCAGCTAAGAGTCCCGGTTAAACTTTCAGACGGCCAACTGCGTGGGCGATAGACTATCGGTGTCGCCTTCCGGTGATCTTCAACTGAGCGACGCCCATCGTTATTGCGGAACAGGAACCTTCGCCGTTGAGTCAACCGGAAACTACCTGAACATCGTCTTAGAGAGCGTCAGTGCCTCCAGCACCGGAAGGTTCCTCTGCAAGCTGGAGTCCATCTCGTCGAGCGAACCCAATTGCAATTGCGGTTGGAAGAAGCAGACCAGGATCGTTGGCGGAACTCAAACTGGAGTAAACGAATATCCGATGATGGCTGGTTTGATCGACTCCACGCAACGAATTCTTTATTGTGGCGCGACGATCATCTCCGTCAAGCACGTGATCACCGCCGCTCATTGCGTCGTAGGAAAGTCCGCTGGTCAACTGGGAGTTCTTGTCGGCGATCACGACATATCGACTGGTGAGTCAAACGAAAGTGGTAGTAAAATTTACGAGTAAAAATTATAAAATTCCTTAACTCAGGATCCGACACAAATGCCTCGAGTCTTCATCGTGTCTCCAGCTTCACGGTGCATCCGCAATACAATGCAGATACACAGGCAAACGATATTGGGATCGTGACGGTTATAGACACGATAGTCTTTACGTTGGAAGTGGGTCCGGCCTGTCTTCCGTTTCAGCAAGCTTCAAATTCCTTTGCCAATTCAAACGTCCAAGTACTTGGTAAGACTCCTTTGCCTGGTGTGGTCCATTTACGTTACCGTCCTGTCACAATAAATGTTTCATCTTATCAACTTGATCGTTCTACGCAGGCTGGGGCACCACGGAGTTTGCTGGAGCCACTTCGAACACTCTGCAGGAAGTGACGCTTGGCGTAACGCCGCTGGCCAGCTGTCAGCGTCCTTATCCACAAGTAACTAACAATCAGATGTGCACTTACGCCAATGGAAAGGATACCTGCCAGGTAATGCGATAGAATTATACTAGCAGGCGTCGCGAGTAGTGTTACAAAGAGGCGCCTCCAATGATGAGAGAGTCAACATTCCTTTGTTATATTCCCACGATCCCTGCAGTTTGACAGCGGCGGTCCAGTTCTTTGGCAAAATCCATCTAGCAGGAGACTCGTATGTGCTGGAATTATCAGTTTCGGAGGAGTCTGTGCTTCGGATACCCCAGGAGTGAATACCCGGGTGGGCGCCTACATGAATTGGATTCTATCAGTGACTCCAGGTAAGATTGGCGGAACCCATCGATGCGTCGGGGAATTACGATACGAGAATGATTTCAGTGACAGCCTCACGTTTTCTTTTCTAGGTATAAATTATTGTCGGCTGGAATAGAAGAAAAGGAAGTCATGTATAAAACCAGTCAGACGGCAGCATCTGTGATTCGTCCGCTTTTATCTTAATTTATAAATAACATTTTCACCATTACTTATACCTGTGGATACTGTTAACGTATTTATTGTGCGCTGTCAATCCTTGGGAATTTATCAGACTTGCCACATGTATCGGTCAGACGAATAAGTTCAACGACAAGAATCTCCTCAATGGCTGCTTCATCTGTCAGAGGGCGCAATAACGATCGCAGAGGATCACTGCAACATCGTCTTTACATATATTATGCTAAGTTGCGTTTCTAAATGGCTATAGTGGCGCCATCTCTGGGATATACGTGTAACCACGATAATAAATGTTTTACTCTGGTCGATCAGACAGAATAAATATACCTACCTACGATTAATTATCATGAACCAAACGAGGCGTAGCATTTTTTTTTTGTAAATAAAAGAAATATATACTCCAGAGTACATGCATCGTGATATTATTCTCTTTTTAATGAGACAAACATACACTGCATAAAAAGGTACATTCTTTAGCCGAGAAAAACAATCGTTAACGAAACGAAAGTCAATGATTTTGACAGAGAGTTTAAAGTGCACAAATTAAATAGCCCATCGAGCCGGATTCACTGAATTCCATAACATCCGGCTCGTTTCTTACAATTGATCTTGGTGCAGGCGGAATGTAGGTTTTTCCACAGGATGCATGCGGGGGTAGGTGGAGGGATACCGGCCGAGTATCAAAGAGTCGAGAGTATTCGCAACGAAACGATTTCTCCTTGTACGCGTTACAAAACTGGTTTTCATACTTCACGGCTGTCGACTTTGGCAGCACTTTCCGTAACGTGCGGCGGTATTCCCGACGAGCTGATGTAGGTACGGTGCTCCGACCTGGGGATTCCCAAGAGACTCAAAGCCCCTCGCAAAGTACTTCGATTTGCTTCGAATATTTCTGAGTGCTCGGAAGTCTTTTAGAGCCGAGCAGATCGTCACAATGCCCGGAAGGGCACTGACCCTCGCACTCTAATGAACTTTCCTTTTATTCCGTATTCAACAGAACCAACAGTTCTCAGGTAAATTCCACGGAAAAAAAAAAGAGAGAAAAAAATATACAAAAATATAATTTTAAACGACCGTCAGAAAAGTATGCAATAGCGACGACAGAGAATAGGAGAGTCATTATAAGAATGACTGATGACGACCGAACCGACTGACAATGAATACCGGCGCACATCGAAGATAGACAGTGGTAACTCTTTAAATAAGACAATCCTATTTATAATCGCAAAGCCCGGCGTGCGTATGTCTCGCGTGCATAGGTGCGTACATACGTGAGCGAGTGCGTGCATGCGTGATCCGGCGAGACGATTTATACAGACAGAGGGAGAAGCACGGATCCAAATATATCCCGGAACCCGTAGAGCGAACGGCAGACCAAACTCCCCCAAAAAGGAATAAGTCCCCCAGGTTCTTGGAATGCCACGACTGTTACGCGTCCGTCCGAAAATACCTAGGAGGTTCTTGCTCCACATTTTTACACGACAACACGACAAGTGGCCGATATTAATTCTGCGGTGCATCTGACGCTGCGGAAAGTCCGATACTTTCGATCGGCGCAGTTATACCGAAAAAGGCGTGAGTCAGGAGTTTTTCCGAAAGGTGGCAGCCCCCTCACCCTCGACCTCTTTTTTCACCACGCCGCAGCAACACCAACCTGACGCCTCTATATACATCGCGAGGAAGATTTCTCCTTGCGTATCCAGTCTACTCCCAATGTACGAGGAACTTAGACATGGACGCGGCTGTATCTCTGGGTGTGCAAAATTAATTATACGCAGCGATTGATGCTAATTTGATTACGTAGTGGCATGACGCGGTGCGCTCGGTGTCGTCATCTTACTCTAGAAGAGGCTTCAAAGATGGCAGTGTCACACGTCGCATCGCGATAAACTTTTGTAAACGTCTCTTTATTACTAAAATATAATAATTCATACGATCGATATAATATGAATATAATATAATATATATATATATATTTTTAATATAATAATACATAGGCAGACACGCATTTCCTCATGCATACATAGATACATACACGCTCCTTTCCATTCGTACGGAGAGACATGCACAACACAATTGAATAACGCCGAGTCCATTTGTGAATATAGGGAATTGGCTATGTACACAGGGACAATTAAGGACTGCACAGGGTGACAAAATTACAGTTTGTTTGACAAGTCTAATAGAACGAGCCACTGATCGTGACTCTCGGTTCATCCTGCGAATAAGAATCGACGTCGTTACGCCTGAAATTCTATTCTAAAACGTCGATAAAGACGTTTCGCTCATCCTAGAGACTCCCTGATAAATCGCTAAGCGTAAATCGTCTCGATTAAAGTGTTTTGTATTTATCGATATACCGATTGGCATTAACTAAACGCAACTACGTCGATAGTAGACAACGTGTCCTGCCGTTTGAGGGCAGACCGAAGTGATCCGTCGCACGTCGTACGTAACGAGACTCTCGTCAGCTCCTAGTCGTTCCTTCGATTCGATCGAATTGGTACGTCGAATCGTCGAGTCTTCGTTCTCATGGCCGATTTTCAGAGACAGCTAGCTCTGTTTCTTTTTTCAAGCACAGAGGTTTTAGCAGGAGTTCCCGGTGAGCCTTGAGAGAGGGTCGCCTGGAAGCCTCGGCGAAGGGTCCACGAAGGAGACGCGGTCGACCGGTCCTCGAGAGGAAGGACGCTGTCGCGGCGGGAGTCCTTGAAAGTTCAGCCGTGCACCCCGACGCTCTGTCTGAGCTGTGCTAAGGCAGGTAAATAAGGTGCATCCTGCTCACCGTCCTCGTCCTCGCTGAGGTCAGAGTCCGAGAGTGGCGGAGGCTCAGGAGTGGCGCCGAGCCTTATGAGATCTCGCGCGAGCTGACTGTCTATGCAGGCCGCAATCTGGTAGGCGGTGATTCCGGCGTAGGTCGGGGCGTCCAGGCAGGGTCGGCATTCTTGAAGAAGAAACGAGACGACCGAGCGGCATCCACGTTCCACGGCGAGATGCAGCGCGGTCCTCCCGGACAGGCCTTCCCTGGCCTCCAGGTCGGCCCCCAAGCGCAGCAGTAATCTGACCAGTTCAACGTGGCCCCCGACTGCTGCGACGTGCAGGCACATCTCTCCTGAAACACACAAAGCGGAGAACGTTAGAAGCCTCGCAAGATAAACAGCCTCTCGCGCGCCAAGGCGGCGAAGAGACCGCAGCGTCCAGACTTAATCACTTCTTATTTTGACTTTCATTCAGCAATGAGAATTCTCGGCTCCTCGCACGATTCCTCGCTCGTCCGATCCTACGAAAGAGATCTTTGATCTATTTGTCACGGGCCTGTCCGCGAGACTCCGAGACCCGATGACGAGGCTGACGAGGAATCCCAGGAAGGACGAGGCTAGGTCTGATTCGTTGGATCGGCCAGGGTATTTTCGAGAAGGCAGCCAAGTCACATGCCTCTAGAGGCGATATAGATAGAACGAGGAAGACGTGGTGAATCATTGTCGGAGGCTTGGCTGGCGTCCCGCGGTCCAAACTAGGTTCGCCTCGATCAAAGTGACCGCTAAAATTAGCCACCCTGAGTTAGCAGCGTTTTGCCCAGTGGCGGCGTCGACTGAGAGCGCAAGTATTTACCCCGGGCACGTGGATGGTGCCACCGGGGGTTCACTCCATCCCGGGGAATTCTCACCAGGGTCTCTCTGGCTGTCTCGAAGATACCAAACAGGATTGCCTAATTTCCATAGAATCCGGTAGGATTCAGGACCAAGCACTCGTAATTAATTACTTTTAAGACGGCACTCGCCTAACGAGGCTGCCCGGTACGCGATTTGGGGGAACCAGAATGTAAAGGCGGACGTCACGACCATCGTTCACCTTCTCGTAATTGGCTCCAGGACATAACAAGCCATTAAAATCTCAATGACTAGGTACCAAAAGTGAATTCAACAAGCAAGCAAAGTTCCGCCGTTAAAGAAAAGTCTTCGTTGACCGATCAGACCATTCGGCGATCCCCTCGATGGAGCCACTACGGACCAACGCGACCCGGTGACCCCCAAGACCAGATCAGACTTTTGCAATAGATCACAGTAGAGCCTTTCCCAATGAAAACAGTGCCACGAGTACATAGAACAACGGTAGGGATTCTGAGACGACAGCGGCGGCAGGGTCACGGGTCAAGAAAACACAGGGTCTCGTTGTGCAATTCGATCAGCCAATGAAACTAATCGTCGCCAGAGTTTCATCAGCCCTCCCGAATCCAAAGATTCGTTCGAGACATTGGCGTCTTACCGATTTGGTGCCTGGTTCCGTTATCAAATCAAATTCAATGGTACAAATGGGAAAAGTGATGGAAAAAAGAAGAAGAAGCCAGATACGTCCCACGTGACGCCGCCGAAGCTCCGTACCCACCGACGCCGACGCCAATGTGGGGTTTCCCGAGGCGAGAATGCCGCGTCGCGCAAATAGCCGAACAGGTATTTTTAAATGTCAAAAACATCTGCTTCGACTTCTGGCACATAGCAGCGTGATGTAACGTACGTACGCACATACGCGTATAAGAACGCGCGTACGTATTTATTCGAGTAACATGCGTAGATACGCGTAGATATATTGTCGCGCAGTTGCCGATTGCCCGATTAAATGTCTACTGATCGCGAACGATTATCAATTGCGCAATCGCCGATTAATATCGAAACTGGCGATTCTACTGTGAAGTTAAGAAATCCGGTATTCCCTGAGATAAGGGTAACACGTCCACTGGCTCTAGCCGAAGCCATAAGCTGCTCGAAATCGGATCTAAGAATCGGGAGATCCAAAGCGTGACGACGGACGGAGCCCCCCCCCCCCCCCCCTATATT